CTTGCACGAACTGGATGCCGATATCGTCGGTGATGTATAGGGAACATTTGTGTGGACACACATGGAGTATGTGGTACAGGCTTGGCGTCCGTTACTTCGGGAGGGCATAGCTCATCTTGAAGGTGGTGTGCAAGGACGTGCTATATAGCTTGTCCCTGAACTCAAATATTTGACATACGAATAACACCTGACAGCCTTAAACGTTTATCGTCTCCACTATCGACAAGACGTCGGTGAGCTTTTACTCACGTTCCAATTGCTACGGCGAATCGATCTTGATGTCCGGAGCGATTCACTCAGATGGTGCGTCAGCTGCACGACGGTATGATGGCGCGAGTCACGGACAACGGAGCTGTGTCAGAGGCATTGGCAGTGACCAACGGAGTGAAGCAGGGATGCATGCTGGCGCCTACCCTCTTCCGTCTTATGTTCTCTGCCATGCTAATGGACGCCTACCGTGATGAACGCCCCGGGATCCGCATCGCCTACAGGGCGGACGGTCACCTGCTGAACCAACGGCGGATGCACTTCCATTCGCGCGTATCCACAACCACCTTCACGAACTCCTCTTCGCCGACGACTGCGCCCTGAATACCACCTCGGAAGAGGAGATGCAACGGAGCATGGACCTATTCTCCGCCGCCTGCGAGAACTTTGGGCTGGTTATCAACACGCAGAAGACAGTGGTGATGCATCAACCGCCACCCTAATCAGCCGCAGCCCCAACGCGCCGCCGCAAATCAGAGTGAACGGAACCCAACTGCAAGTGGTGGAGAACTTCGCGTACCTCTGCAGTACTCTTTCCCGCAACACCAAGATCGATGACGAAGTCGCCAACAGGATCTCGAAAGCCAGTCAAGCCTTCGGTCGCCTCCAAAGCACAGTTTGGAATCGTCATGGACTTCAACTGAGCACGAAGCTGAAGATGTACAAGTCCGTCATCCTGCTGACGCTAATGTATGGAGCTGAGACTTGGACGGTGTACACAAAGCAGGCACGCCGTCTGAACCACTTCCACCTCAGTTGTCTTCGCCGCATCCTGAGGCTGAACTGGCAGGATCGCATCCCCGACACTGATGTGCTGGAACGGACGGGAATCCTCAGCATCTACGCCATCCTGAGACAAATGCAGCTGCGCTGGAGCGGCCACCTGGTGCGCATGGACGACGAGCGACTACCCAAACGACTCTTCTACGGAGACGTCGCGACTGGTTCTCGCCGTCCAGTAGGCCATATTCGCCGTTACAAGGATACCCTGAAGTCCTCCCTGAAGCGACTGCAAATCAACACGGCCAAATGGGAGGAGTTTGCACTCGATCGACCAACATGGAGGAGGACAGTGAAGACCGGCGCTGCGATCTACGAATCCAACCGCATCGTTGCCGCCAAAGCGAAACGCGGAGACCGAAATCACAACTTCGCTCAGTACGAAACGGCGACGCACAACCACTTCCAACGTGTTCCCTCTGTCAACGCACACTCCGGGCTCGAATCGGACTTGTCGGACATCTTCGGATCAACTGCGCTTCTCGAACTGCACCAATCATCTTCCCCCTGCCCGCCTCTTCCTCATCCTCTCCGCCACCAACTAACTCTGACAATTCTTCTGAACCACCA